AGGGAGGTCTGGGCATCTTTGCTTAGACTGCTGCCCCCGCGACCCGGTCCCGGATAAGCGGAAGAAAATGGATGGATGGATGGATGGGTGTAAAATCTTAGTTAATGCACAAGAAATAGCCATAAAGTCATATTTTCATATTTCACAGATCATAAACTCCCACAGTATTATCTACAATGATACCACGGATGGTGTGATTAGCGCCGTCGCCTCACAACAAGAATGTTCCGGGTTTGAGCCTGGACCGACCTGAGGCCTTTCTGTGTGCAGTCTGCATGTTCTCCCTGTGCCTGCATGGGTTTTCACCGGGTGCTCCAGCTTCCTCCCACAGTCCAAAGACATGCAGCTTAGGTTGACTGGCGACTCTAAATTGCCCGTAGGAATGATTGTGAGTGTGTGTGGTTGTTTGTCTACATGTCATCCCTGTGATAGACTGGCAACCTGTCCAGGGGGGACCCCGCCTGTCACCCAATGTCAGCTGGGATTGGTTCCAGCTCCCCCCGTGACCCTATTCAGGAATAAGCGGTACAGATAATGGATGGATGGATGATACACAAGACATGCTGGAGCTCTAAAGGGTCTAAATGAGCATAAAACTAGTCTGAAGTGCACATGCTTATGAAATCATCTTAAAGTTGCATGAAAAGAAAGCTATGGCTCTCATATTTATTTATTTCAGATTTTAGTTTGAGAATAACCCACTTGAGATGCATCATCTCATTTTCATGGGGGACCTCACACTGTGTGTGTTTGTTAAATGTGAAGCTGCAGCCAGCAGTCAGTTAGCTTAGCTTAGCATACAGGCTGAAACAGGGGGAAACAGCTAGCCTCTGTCCAGCATCTCGTGTTTTCATGGGTGCCTTTACTACATTCATGTTTTAATAATATTAGAATTTTAAGTTGTGTGCACGCAATTTAGGTCCTATCAAATTCACTGTATACACCTGTCACTGATTACTATTACTAATGCTTTGGCAAGAGAAACACAATAGTATTTTTTACAAACCGAAAGATTCGACATGAACAGGGGAGTAATTTACCTGCAAATGGCAGACTGGCTATAGGCCGGACCCTCAGTTGCAGTCAGAGCCTGTCCTACTTGTGTCTGAGTAAGCCCCAAGGACAGCCGACGGATCTTGAAATTCTTGGCAAACTCTCGGATTTCCTCCAGATTAATTCCTTCCTCGCTGCTCACTACCTGCTGGGGTTCTACAATGGCGAAGAGTCCAGTTAAAAATATGTACCTATTAAAATCGGATCTATGTTTGGATAGGTTAGCAGGTTTACATACTGCTGACAAGCTGGCCCACTTTTGTTATGTCTCCACAGGTGATGGGTGCCGTGGAGGAGAGTGTGGTGGCAGCCTTCAGTACAGATGGCTGTGGAGCGATGACAACTGGTGACTGAGTAGCAGTTGTTACTGAAGCCTGGGAAGGAAGAAATAAGTGCAAACATAATAAATATTCTCTGTTGTAAAAGTGTTCGATTTTCATTGTATTTACATATCTCTGAGAATAATTAATGATCTGCCAAACAACTGAGTCTATCCAAAGATCATGAAGTATTTTCTTTGACTATTTAAGCTTTCAAGTGTAAATCCAGTAATTATTTAGTTCATTCTGATCTCAGAACAACATGCAAGCAGATTATAATCATCTACCTGTGTGTTAGGTTTGGTAAGTGCTGGAGGAGCAGCAGCTTTGGGTAGAACTGCTGGAGAGGTCGCTACTGTGGTAGGTCCATTCCCTACAGTGGCAATGATCTGGCCTTGTGTGTTAAGAAGCAGCTGTGGGGTGACAGTCTGGACCTGGAGACCCTGGAGACCCTGGAGAGGGAGGGCGGGGGTCGCAGCCCCACCAGCTAGAGAGGCTGGGTTCACCAACAATGGGAGGGTTCCTATGACCTGTAAATAGTGTTCAAATGTATGTGAAATGCATACGACTAATTGAATGTAACTCGTAGTAATAAGACTTGCTTACTAAACCACTTCCACTTTTTCTTTCTCATATTAGCAGTTCATGTCTTTCAAGATTAAACACTGCACTGCTAACTCCAGTGGGCTGCAACAATGGCAAGATCGAGTAATAGAACTGTTTAGGAGGACAAATCAGTTTTCAGACAGTGTCTCATGCACCACTGACTTGAAATAACACTGCTACTGCTGACAGATGTTAACTGGAGACTGGGGTTTTTATTCTCAAAAACCAAACAACACAAAAGCATTCTGACTGTCCTTGAAGATGGTATGATTAGCAATAAATACACAATATATAATATGTAAATGTCCCTACGTCAGGGGAGGGCTATAATATAATGAGCTGACTGATTCTCTGTTAGAGTAGTTGTACTTTATGACACCCACCTGTCCCTGGGCATTTGTGATGATTTGGCTGGTGATGCCAGCCATGCTGGACATAGCACTGGTGATGATGGGAGTGGAGGTGAGGGAACTGAGAAACTGGGGCTGTGCTCCCAATGAAGCAGCGTTGATCTAGGACATAGAAAAAAAATATCACGACTCACCAGCCAGATGTCAACAGTACAGAGCTATACAAACACAGGTAAATCCTTGTAGTGGCATTCTTACAATAGCAGGATTGATGGGCAGTCCTGCAGTCTGGAGTGCTGCCACAGATATGTTGGACTGAGAGACGGGGGTGGTAGCTGAGGTCGTCTGGGTTGCTGCCACCTGAGCGGTCGTAACCTGTGCACTGGTCACCTGTGTAGGCTGAGACGTCACCTGCTGCACAGCAGCCTGCACTGCCTGCACTGAAGCTGCTTGAGGCTGAAACACTGTCTGTGCATTGGTCTGCAGCTGGGGCTGGACTGAGTTCAGGACTGTGGCAGCTGAGGGAAAATTCAAGAGCACACATTCTTTTATTGTTCTGAAACGATATGACAAAACTGACAAAAACATTTAGACAAGATTGAGAATCTACAAACACACTACATGTAAGGCTGTACTTAGTCATAGCTGAGCTTTGAGCTGAATAATGCTAGAATGCTGGTGTTTAGCAGATCATGTTCACTGTGTTACTTTAGTACATCAACTCAATAAAATATAGATGCCATGAAAGCTCTGAGAAGGGGAGCCACAGCCCCCTGGTGGCTGGTTGCAGCAAAGGTCATAAATCCTCCATCCATCCATTATCTATACTGCTTATTCCTGAATAGGGTCGAGGGGGGCTGGAGCCAATCCCAGCTGACAGTGGGCGAGAGGCGGGGTCCACCCTGGACAGATCACCAGTCTATCACATGTAAAACAACCACACACACACCCACGCTCTCTCCTATGGGTGATTTAGAGTGTTTGGGCTGTGGGAGGAAGCCAGAGAGACCCTGCACGGGCACAGAAAAAACAGAACATGCTAACTTCATACAGAAAGGCTCGGGTCACTTGCTGTGAGGCGACAGCGCTAACCACCACACCACTGTGCCGCCGCAGTCATAAATCCTGCCTCATCCTTAGTGGATGGGACATGAGCCAAAATAAAAACGTGCAAATCAGATACATTTTTCCCAGAGGTTCCTTCTGTGGTTTTTGGTAGATATTATCACGCTGATGTGTGTACAAGTATTCATGTTTCTGGTAAGTTTGTTTTTAATAAGTTATTGGATGTCATAAAAAGAGATGGATTTCGGTTGATTTGACAGCTTTGATTGGCGGTCCGTTGCTGTCATATCACTTCTGGTCACGACTGCACAGACAGTACAAAAAACCAAGATGGCAGCCGCCGTGTTCATGATATTTTGGCTTCACTTTGCATAGTGGAGGGAAGTAATGATGCCATGTCCACTGTATAGATGTCAGTAGTTTAGTGTGTCAGCATTTGCTAATTAGCACTGAACACAAAGTACAGCTAAGGCAGATGGACATGCCAGTATTTTGCAGGCATTTGGCCATAAACCAAAGAAGTGAACAAATGTTTCATTAGAGGAAACGTCAAGTTCACCAAAGTCATTAGGATTCATCCTCTGGAACATGAATATGTGCACAATCATGGTAATCAATCAGTTCAATTTAATTTTATTTGTATAGCGCCAAATCACAACAAAAGTCTATTAGTGTTATTATAGTGGAAAAGAAAATCCCCCTTGAGCTAGCACTTGGTGACAGTAGGGAGGAAAAAGTCCCTTTAATCCAATGCTTTTTGAGATTCTTCAGGGTAGAACAAAGTGGCAGACTGACCAGGTGACCAATACTGCTATTCCTAGTCCCGTGGTGCTAGCATGGCTATTAAAAATGTTAGTTATTGACAACTTCAAACATCAGGAGGAGATCATTTGTGCATGTGGTGTTTTCTGAAGTCAGGTGTCACCTGTGACGAATTAAATTAAATTTTGACACAATCTGGACAAGAGAGGTGTCTGCTTTACCTTGCAGTCCAGCAAAGGGCAGTTTAAGTAGATTTCCAGCCGGGTTAGCTGCTGCGAGGCCAGGGAGAGTAGCTACATTGGTGGTAGGGAGGGTGAGAACGGCCAGACCGCCATGGCCACCAATGGAACTGAAGGGGATGAGCAGGGGCTGGCCCAGCGACCCCGTCTGGGCCATCATACCAGTCATCAGGGTGGCCAGACTTTCCTGGGTCAGCACCTAGTGTAGCATAATACAAGATTTGTTTCCTTTAACACTTGTGACTGGTATGTACAGTGATTTTTTTCCAGAGGATATTTTTGCCTCCATTGTCTATTTTTCATTAAAACTGGTGTTTATACATGAGCAAGTGTACTGAACTAAATGGTTATACATTTTAAGTACACTTGCACTCAAATACTCCATCCTTCTCCACTGCTGACTTTCTACCCATGTTTGGTGCTGGTGGGTTTGCATTTGAATGTATTGGTCTGAAATTTCTCCAACTGCTCGAAACATTGTGCCAATCATTTCTTCAACCTTCCGTTCTCACATGCACAACCTGCTAGAGATAGTTGCCTCTGTCACAGTCATACCTGTGGACAGCTTTGTACGGTGATGGGCATGGCAGCCTGGGGCTGTGGCAAGGATACGTTGATGGGAACAGCAGGAGTCAACGTTTGGACAGCAGGGGCCGGAGCCTCTACAGAAGCCACCTTCTGCTCATCCAGCACTGCAGGAGCACAGCCACAGCTGGTTCATACTGACATTTGAAGTGGTTCTCACAACTGTCATTAACATTTCAGTACAACTGTGTCATCCTTATATGAGTAATAAGTCATTCGCTATCCTACTAAGACCATGTCTTACCTATTCCCCCGCTGCTCTGGGCTACAGTAGGGCTGTCCTGGGTGCTGCCTGCCTCTGGCCGCTCTGCAGACTGAGACACTCCCTCCTCAGCTTTGATTTCACTCTTCACGTCAGGTAATGATGTAGGCAGAGATGCATCGACCTCTACCTCTAGCACACGAATAGTCTCATGGCCAGACATCACAATGACCTGCACCGCAATCAGGAGTAAAAACTGAAATGACTCCTATGCAAATGAGCTGCCTATTCTTTTCTATTTCTTTTGTTAAAGTTAGATAAGAGTTTTAACTGTTATTAGTTTGTGAAACACTTTAGTAAATAAACATTTTAATCTGATAGAAGTCTTATTTCATCTAGCACCTGAGGGACCACAAATGTAGCTACAACTAAATTTAGTATTTCCCTTGTTAACTACTTATAGCAAATCTGCTTTGGACTTAACCAGTGATTAATGGTTTGCAATAATGAAAGACCTAGAGGAGAGGCAGCGAGACAACCTGGACTGGACGACAAGGTGCAGAGAGACAATGCAGGAAGAGAGAGGAGGATGCATACCTGGTTGTCTTTGGCAGGGAATTTCAAAGTGCAGGATTTAAATGGCTGAAAAAAGACTTCTGCAGTCAGACAGTGAATGGCTAAGGAGAACAGAGAAGCCGAGCATGTTAGGACACAATGACTCAAAACAAAACAACAACAACAACAACAACAAAAAGACACAAATGAAAAGAGTATGAGAACACAATGATAAGAGCAGCCAACAAGCAGCTCAAGCAATGCTTTTCAAGCTCCACCCCATGCATCTGTGAAGAGCATTGCTTTATTTTGCTGTGTCTACACAGAATGTTACCAGAGAGAGAAAAACCACAATCAGTCATTAAGCATGGCAGTTTAAAGACGGGTAACCTTCTCAGCATAGCAGCAGGTATTATTTGGTGATAAAACGACAAATCCTGTTCTCAATGAATTGTTGTGTGGAAGTTATTCCTTCAATTATGATATGGCACATGGAGGGTGAGAGGAGCGAACAGCAGCAGAGAACCTAGAGACAATAGCAGTTATCAGGATTTGGCTAAGCTCAGTGTGGCTACAGTGAGAGAAGAACAGCCACTGTGCTTCTTTAACAGACAGGTGGCTGTTACCTGCTCATTGACAGTCAGCGGGGCACCTTTGGCAGGAAGATCCTGGGAGTTCATGGCTCACCACCTCAGCCACTGTCTTCCTGGCATTCTGGGCAAATAAACACTAATTAAACAAGCCCTGGATTATCAGCTTGATAACTTAACTCCACCTGTTTCCAATCCGTTTTGCAGCCATTTCAGAAATATACAGTATATGTATCTATGTATGTATGTATATATAAAGTTTCATGATGATTACCCCTGTAAACACACAGTACATATAAGCACTTATAAGGGGCAAATGCTGGGTAAAACAGACCCACATGCAGAGGACAGTTTATTTATTCGTGGCTATTTCTGTCATAGTAGGAGCAGACTATTTGGAGGGGCCTATAAACAGGCCACTCTGTGTTGCACTGAAGCTGCAGAAAACGGGACGAAACACGCTGATCGTGGACATGAAGTGGTTAGAAATTCATCACAGATTAAAAGCAGCTTCAAGATGATGCCTTTCCCGCTGCAATGCCCCGTTAGAAATGAGGATCTGTCAAAACTTCAGTGGGTGTTGGAGGGCTCCCCACCCCCATCCTGACCAATAAAAGTCTCGCAGCCTCGGCTACTTTTGCAGATAAGCCGTAACCACCAGGTACAGGCGACAGAAATGATCTGGACTCGTGCCTAGAGACCGAATATTATTTATTTCCCTCTCTTTATCATAAATATATAAATTATGCTAATTACGAACATTGCATATTAACAAAAACTCATTTCCTTTCGCCATTTCGCTGCTATGCGCGAAAAGCAGGCTAGAACACAGTCCGGTTATTATATTCAACTTACCGCGTAAATGCAGCTAATTTTCTGTAATCCCCCGCTCTTATAAAGGTCCTTGTCACAGTTTGTTTCAGTCACACATAATTAAAAATTCATCTCAGCTCCCAGACAGGCGCTGTGACTGCACACAAAAGAGGTATTTGCATTGATAAGGAGGGTTGCAATGTTAGGATCTCCTCTCTCTTAATATTTAGTGGCGCTTCCTTTCCTGCAACACTTCGGGCAATCAGGAATCCTTGAGGTGTCTCACGAAAGCCTATTTGAGCTGTAAAGTCGGATAAAATAGCCACAAAATTGGCCTATTGCACTACGTCATGAACATAATTTATGCAAGAAAAAATCTTGCATTGAAAAATGTCTGCCTCGACTTGAGAGGTGCCATGGTGCTCTTAAAGGGGAAGTGCTCGCGTCAGAGCCGAACAGCGAAGCCCCGTTATCGGTGAATACTGTACATAGGCTAGCCTAAAACGCACGATCAGTTTTCTAATAGTGCTCTTTGTCTAACTGAGATAATGTTTGAATGGATTTTTATAAAATCATGAAAGCAACACAGGAGAATTCCCCAAATCCAAGTTCTCTGACAGTGTTTGCAGGACAGCTGTCTGCAGCGGAGAGGGCGCCCTTTTACTTGTGAATCAATTCAGTGAGAAAATCGTCAGATTAATTCATAATGAAAATAATTATTCCTTTCAGCCTAATTTGAGACGTGCAAAATCAGCAACAGGCTACTTTGTATTCACTCACGTGTATCTCAAATTAATAGCCAACTGTTGATTTCAGAGGTGTACGTTGGATTACTACATCCTTTAACCCAGCAGGATTTTGTTATGACCACGCTTAAACTCACTGAAACAGTTTTTGTTTGTTTGTTTGTCAGTTATCCTTGTTGGACACTGATACCTTTAGCCTGATTTGAGTAATAAATTTTCTTTGTGATTAAAGTGTAAAAAAAAATAAACCTCTACCAAATTTGTAGCTGCTTTTGATTAAACATAAGAGCAATATGAGAAAAGCAGATAATGTAGCACAATTATATAAAATAAACTGTATAGGCTATGTAGGTTAGCTTAAATAAACTAAAACAATTATAATTCAAATTAGCCATAGCTCAGGCTTAGCACATTAATGCTTCAGTAACAATCTGTCTGTTTGGTTTCAGTTTGTCTTCTGAGTCCAACTTGTCTTCTCAAAGACAACCGTTCACCTTCACTCCCTCTTGAAATCTCCTACGCTGCTACCTGAAGGGGGCGCGCGCGCAGGCGAAACGCTGTGTTCGTCGAACGAACCACAGTTACGTCACCACTTCTACAACAACAAGAAGCTGAAAAACAAGGAAGTGAATGATTGTGAAGCAGACGAAACCTGTTATAAGGCCGTGACGAGATACGCAGAGACTCCGTTTGATCTAGTATTCCTTAGCCTTCGGATCAGCTCAGAGCAATGAACAACAAAGGTATCTATCCGTACCTTGTTTAGGTGGCTAGTCAGCTGTTAGCTATACGACGCGGACGTTATAGCTAGAAATTACGGGCTGTCGTTGTGGGCCGTCTGACGGAGCGGGCTTCGCTACACACATGACAATGAACCGACGCTTTCTGGATAAGACTGGAGCACACACGTCCAACTTGGACGTAGAGTTTGTTATCAAATGTTAACGCTGCTAATAATCGCCGCCTTAATTTACTGTCACCTTGTGTTCTCATAGTGTTAGTGGCCAGGTCACATATTTTCCACTCAGCTAACGTTAGCATCAGTAAAACGGGCAGCTTTTAAAGGCGAAAATGAAATGTTTGGGTTTACTGTCTCCTCTTGTTACGTAAGGCCCAAGCACGGAAATGTAAATCTGCGTCAGTAACCGCGGCTACACTTGTCTTTGTTTTCCAATTTCATCGCTACTTTGCTAATATGTGTGCATATACACTTTATCTTTTGTCTGTACATAGACATCTTACTTGAACATACATTTCTATTCAAAGGTCTTCAAAAAACAGTACCAGCAAGAGTAACTACCCTCAATATTTTATGGATAATGATGCACCGGTCAACAGATTGGAGGATGTAGTAGATAAGTTTAATAGGTTTCTTGTGAATGTTGGTCCTGGTTTAGCAAGAAGCATTTGTACATTTGTACAATGATGATACATCCGTCACTATAAACAACAATACAATCGAAAGGAATGTGTTCTATGTTTCTTAACACGTCGTTTCGACTTGGGCAGTTCCCCAATAATATGAAAATAGCAAAGGTTATTCCTTTGTATAAATCTGGTGATAAGCACAACTTCACAAATTATAGACCGGTTTCTCTGTTGTCACAATTTTCAAAAATC